CACCTGTCCCCGCCTGCAGCCGAATGCGAGTCTCCTCCTGGATCATAGCAGAGATAGCCTCCTCAAGCGTGGGAATCTTCGGCTGAGCTAGGAGCAATGCAATTCGCTGAGCGAACTCTGATGTCAATCCCTTGAGAAACACCATAGTCCTCTCCTGTAGAAAGGCCTCCCGCTCTTTACATCCGGGTCCTTGCAGCTAAGCCGGCGGGAGAGAAATGATCATTAATCCAGCCACAGGCGTTCCAACTCTGTAGCATATTCCTGTACAGTCCTTTCACACCTGGTAACCTGATGGCGTCGATCTCCCTTTAATTTCTGGATACCCGCAGTGTTATTCCCCACTTCCATCATACGTCCTTTCTTAACATCTCCCAGACGTCTTCACGGCTTCTCATGCATCTTACCGTGGCCGGGATCGTCGGGACCAACGAGTTGAGAAGCCAGATGTACACCAACATATGTAGTGGTCTTCCACTCATCTCTTCCCTCCCGAGTCCTCCTCCGGTTTCTGTCGCCTCTCCTGTCAAAGTAACCCTCCAAGTTCGCTGCACCGGCAGGGTGTATCGCACCCCCGCGAACATTCTCAGGTAAGTACTCCGTCCATCAGCTTCAGATCGATGGGTCGGAACTCGCAACTTCTCGGATGGTTTGTCGCAGCTCTCCCCAGCCGAGCAACTTCATTAGCTTCATCAAAGTGGACAACCGGATGCCGCGGGTTCAAATTCTTGAGATGCTCCGCAGCGAAATAGGCTATTCAGACCCACGACGGGAATGGTATCACGTTCTCTATCCGGACGCGCTGTGCGTGTACGCAGTTGAAGACGTTGCGGCAGCACCTCTGCTTGCACAACAAGAGTAGGAGGCTCAAACAAATTCTCGTATCTCAGAAAGGAAACAAGAATGCAAAAAACAGTTATAATATCTCATCGAGTGAGATATAAACTCTAGCGGTCAGTCGAGTTCGAGGATGAGAGGTCAAGGGAACCCATGCCAAAACTCGAGGTCAGCATAGCGCGCAAGCAAGCGGCGGCAAAAGGTCTGAGGGGGGGCTGTTTGGGATCGGAAAACAGGGGGGGGGCTGTTTGGGAATCGGAAAAAAAAAACAAAACGGGGGGGGCTGGTTGGGATCTGAAAGACAGGGGGGGCTTCGCTGGTCAGGGGAGGGTTTTCAGGGGGGTTCGCTGAACAGGAGGGGGGGCTCGGGTTCAAGGGGGGGAATCGAGTTCTCCGGCAAAGGTCTGAGGGGGGGGCATGGTTTGGGATCGGGTTCAGGGTCAGGGGGGTTCGAGTTAAGGGAATCAGGCAGAGGAGAGGAAGGTCAGCGAAGTGTTGGGAGGTCTGGGGGTTCTGTGGCGGCCGGCGAAGTGGGGGGAGGGGGCGGCGGCTAGGAGAGAAGAGGGGAGGCAGCCGGCTCTGATACCATGAAGAAATGAAAACCCTAATTCATTATGATATCTCTTGGGCTTTATATAGGCCCCTACAAATCTTACAAATAAGTCCCTAATAATACTAATATGTCAACAGTACGTATGGATGTTCTGATAAAACACGTACTTAAATTTTCCTATCTTTCTTTTATCGAAAATCGGTTAGCATTATGAAGATAATCATTGAGAAGAAGAGGGTTTGGGTTTGGTTTTTAAACGACTTTGGGTTTTAAAAAATATACTAAATTACCCATTTTTCAGGAGGATACACTGTTTGATTTTGTATTTTCAATTTCTTCGGTGACGAATTTTCACAACAATAAAAATACCAAATCACAAAGTGTATCATTTTAAGATTATTTTAATTACAAAATTAGTATAAATAACCAAAAATATATTTTTGCCACAAACTAAAAAATGTAATAAAATCCAAATTAAATTTGAAAATTAGTAAATAAAAATTTCCAATTATGTAAAAATGAAAAAACAATTCAAATTGGACTTTGTAGATTGGAATTAAAACTCAAGCTCTAAAAAATTAATATTTTTATAAAAGTTAAAAGTGAAAAAAATACTATACAAATTTAAATAAAAATCATATCATATGGGGATAGATGAAATACCTGAATTATTTTCCTCTAAGTAATTAAAGAGTCGTGTATTGAAGATAAAATTACATAGTAAAAAAAGGGCAATCTAAAAAAAATTCAAAAATAATTAAAAGGGGTAAAAAATAATACACAAATTAAAATAAAATAAACAATTATTGTAATATGTTAAAGACCAAAAAATATATTTTAGAAAAATTCAATATCTGAATATATCAAATACCTAAATTATGTTCTCTAAGAAACAAAAGCATAGTGGGTTGAAGATTAAAAATCACCGATTTATTTTTCTATAATAATATAAAATATTAAAAATTTAACAAGCTTGATATGAGGCCTTTTCGCTCGCTTGAGAGTTCTTGCATGACTAAGCATGCCGATTTAAATTGAAAATAGTTATTCAAGGGCTATAGAATAAGAACCTGAATAATCTTTCTCTAATTAATAGTGTATTTGGATTGTAGATAAAATATCTAAGAGTTATTTCTCAGAATTAAAACCTAAGATCTAAAAAGTTAATATTATTTGATAATAATTAAAACTAAAAAAATACTACACAAATTTAGATAAAAACTATATTGGACGGAGGTAGTTGAAATACCTAAATTATTTTCCTCCAAGCAATTAACGAACCATGGAAAACTATATTGGACGGAGGTAGTTGAAATACCTAAATTATTTTCCTCCAAGCAATTAACGAACCATGGTTTGAAGATAAAGTTACATATGAATCAAAAACCAAAAATCTAAAAAACAAAAAATTTGAAAATAATTGAAATCACTAAAAATAATACAAAACTTTAAAATAACATAAATATTGGATGATTGCTAGATTAATTACCTAATGTATTTTTCAGAAATCAAAATAATAATTCAGAGTAGGAATTAAAAACTAACAATCTAAAAATTTATTTTTTTTGAAAATAATTAAAATTAGAAAAAATATACAAACTAAAATAACATAAATATTGAATGGTGCTAAATTAATTTCCTGATGTATTTATAGGAGATCAGAATAATGATTCGGAGTCCTATAAAAAAATTGAGACATGAAAATCAAAATGTAAAAAAATTGAGACGGGAAAAATGATAGGAAAAATAAAATTGAATTTCGGGATAAATAGAGTTTTTAAATTTAAAAAAAACTAAAATGTATATATTTTCTATATATTGAAAATAAATGCCTAAATAAGTGGATTTTATTTTATTTATGATTTGAATTAGTTACTAAAGGTATTGATTGCCAAAGATATTCTAATTAGGCTGCAGTCCAAGGTGAACCCATAGATGTCAAACCTGCCATGCACCCACACTGTGCAACAACAAGTTTCACCAATCACAGTAACATCCTCTAGTGAGATCAAATAAAAGCGTAGGTACAAACAGACAAAGAAGTAGAATGATAATAATAGACATGATAAAGAAGATGATATCTCATAAATAAAGGTCATGTCTCAACTAAAAATAAACTGAAATACATCTGAAGTCTGAAATAACATACAATGTCTCAACATGAATCAAAACGGAAAGTCGAACTAAGGCACCTTGCTTTTACAAAATGAAAATAAACTCTAAGTCTGAATAAAATTTGAAACTACAGTGGAGCCTCTAATAAATCTCACGGGACGACGACTATGCAAGAACTCCGTCATCCTGCGGCTCTCCAAAACTCCGAGCTACCTTAAAGGGTATTTTTAAAAGAAAAAGAAATAACAACAAGAGCGTCAGAGCGTTACAGCAAGATTACCTCCATCCGCCCTCAGGGGAAGGGCTGCTAGATGGAGTAGAGGCTCTATCTATTAAACATAGTCTACATATATCATTTTTCCCGTATCTAGCGGAATTAATATTCAGACACCTACAAAATGAGACGTAGTACGTCGAGCGAAATAATCCAAACAAGGAAACCCTCATGTATATACCATATGTCCCGAATCGTAAACATCTAAACATTTATACCGAATTAAGGATAAACAATCTAAATAAAATCAACAATTAGAAATCCACAACACGAGACTGGTACGTCGAGCGAAATAATCCAAACAAGGAAACCCTCATGTATATACCATATGTCTCAAATTGTGAATCGCTAATCATTGATCCCAACCTAAGAAATAAAGAACAGCAGAAAAAGAAAATAAAGACATCAACATATCGTATTCATAATATCTGCCACTGCCACTGGGGAAATAGAATGAATACCAGCACAAATCTCGTGTACTTTCATATGCAAAATACTCTAGGTCATATATTTTAGCAGTGAGTCAAAAACATAACCGGCATCCGCCAATGACTCAGGCTATCGCTTGGTTGAGCTATAATAGCAATTTAAATGGATGGATTAGATGATATAACACGTGTCAAAAAATTTAGAGAATGAGGAAGATGAGGTGTTATCTTCTGATGAGCTTTTAAAATTTTAGTTTTGTTTTAATGTATACCCTAGCAAAAAAATTATATTTTAATAATTCTTCACATCGTCCCTTTATTAATATTAAAACTCATCTTTGTAAGTTTATCCAGTTTAGTGAAATATAACCCCCCAATATGCACGTTGATTAACCACATGAATTACTTCGGATTATTTACACAAACATGGGTACTAAATAGCAAATCCAATGATACGAGCTACTAATCATAAATTCCCAAACAAAGAAAAAGAACAGGGGGATAACCCAAAAAAAATAAATGAAAAACCTAAATCATGCGACCCTCCAGCGGGCCCCACACCGTACTAGTCCTACGTCTGTGCGATTGTTATCGGGAAATGAAAAAGACTCGCAACTCCTCCTCAAAAGAGAAGACGACCCCCCCCCAAAAAAAAAAAAAAGAAGAAGAGCGAGGGTCGAGATCCAGTGGCTTGAAATTAAAGCATAAGACGTTCTCAGTTTCATCGAAAGCAAGAAGTAAGCTAGGGTTTCTGGGATCCCAACGGAGACG